AAAGGTGGTTCTCTATAGAATGATGTACCTCGCCCTCTAACTGGCTGATCATTTGGGAAAAAATTAGGGCGATGGTGATGCTGTCATATCCCTGGTTTCTCTGTATCTGCACTCACTTCTCCTTTACATCTTGCACACAGGACATCTTCATCCTTTTTAGGCTCCTTCCCTTTGATACGTTCAAAGACACTGGGGTGTGGCCCAGGGTCCTCTTCTCCGTCATCTACTACTTGAATTTTGACAACTTGTTTTTGAAATCAGTCGTCACCATGTTCACTCCAAGTGGCTGTGGGAAAGGGTTCTCATCCACTGCCATCTTCCATTCCTGATAACGCAAAATGAAAAAGGCCCAAACTCGAGCCCAAAAGAGGATGACACGTGTGCTGCTCTGGATCGTTGATCGCCAACTGAAAATCCATGGTGATGATGGTTTGTATTTAAGTAACCTGAGTGGTTGCCCTAATGTTTTTTTTTCATGTGGTCTTGGTGAGGCTTCTAGAATATCTTTCTCGATGTCTCTTCTCATTCATGTTTTGTCTACTTTGTGTAAATCCAAAATCTCTGGCTTTTGGGGGTGAATCTATGTATATTGAGTCTGTGATTCTCTGTTTAGAGGATTAGACTTGAGATCAGTGGGGTTGTTCTTGATCCATTGAAGTGGCTGCGTTTGTGCGTCCTATTTTAGGGTTAGGGTCATGTGGATTTTTTTTCTTTTTTGTATAGAGGGGTACAATGTTGTTATGAGCCCAAGATCGATGATATCTTGATGCTTATGATCTTTTTTTTTTCATCCATATTTGGAGTGTAAATTCGAGATACTAATATTGTATGACCTTTGGGTTATTTTCAATTTTTTGGTGTGATATTGTGTATTTCTATTTCTATTACAAAAGTATGATGAGTGAAGGAAGAGTTGAAGTATGAACAGAACACGCAGCCATGTCTGCTGGTGGTTAATTATTATTATTAAAACAAAGAACTTTGGAACCTATGTACCAAACTTCTGGTTTTCTGTTCGTGATTTTTTCCCCCATCAGATATTGTGAGAACGGAAAGATTAACTAGAAATGCGAGAATGACACTTCTATCTATATTAGTTGAGAACATATCACAATTGCTCTCATGTCAACCAATCATGCATCCATGCTCAAAATTGGTTGCATAGGCAAACTTCTCTCCAGTCTCGAGAGTCATTATTAACTACAATCCTGAAAACAAATAAAAGCTTCCCTACATTATTACAAAATTGATGGAATGTATTTTTAAGAAGACTGTGCAGCATTGGCACAAATTGGTGGATTCTGCTTGCCTACAAAAGTGGGCTTGACGTTGGTGCATTTAGTTGAGATAGGGCCTTGATTTCCACGGTATGCAAGATCAATATTTCCCATCTCCACATTTTCGCAAGGTACGGTCTTGCTACAAACAAATGATACTGCAACAGGAGTTGCCGACGTACCCTTAATGTTTTTCACAGACATTTTACTGATCTTGATGAGAGAGGGAGACTGCACGAAAACAACAAAGAATGAAATTACTTATAATTAACTCTAAGAGACTAAGGCAGTAGTTAATGGATAGAGATTTAATATATTTTCACTTACGTCTAGCTTGCACTGATTCCACGGGCAATATTCTTGATCAATGACGATAGGATTTTCAACATTATCCATAATAATATCTTCATAGTGTAAATCTGTTATCTGGAGCTTTGCCGGGGCAGAAGGCCATGTTTTCACTCTAATACCATTTTGTGTGCCAATGAATGTGCAGTTCTTAACATATATTCCCGTCACATCTTCTTCAGTCACATCCTTTCCAAGACTCCCTATGCTTATGCCGTGGCCTGGTCCGCAAATTACCCTTTCAATATGGAGTTCTTTCATACCATCACCAATAGAGATGCAATCATCTCCTGTTTTTATAACGGAGTCCAGGACATTTATCCCTTCTGACTTGGCAATATGGAGTCCATCTGTGTTAATACTATCACCTGGTGCACTCACCGTAAATTGTTGAAATGTAACATTCTTACATCCTATTACATTGACGTGAAAATTTTTGCTGTCTTTAGTTGTCACATCACGAATGATTGAGTTGGTGATGAAATTGAAGCTCAAATTCTGTATAAATATGAAATTAGTTACACATTGTCTTTGTATACTACTTACTTGAATCTACTTAATTACTCAATCTTTAGGATCAAACACACACACATCTTCTTACCAAAGGAAGTTTGGCGCATTTGGGATTTTTCCCGCAATCGTTTTTGGTCCATGCTTCTTTACCTTGGCCATCAAAAATTCCACCACCTGATATTGTCAAACGGTCGACATAATTTATGGTTATCCATTCTTCGTTCTTGTCGGGCAGTAGAGTATAATCTGAAGGGGCTATGATGGTGCCCTGGACTTGAAGCTCGATAGGTGCCTTACAAGGGCCTACCAATTTCAGTTGATTTAACAAAAATGTGCCTTTTGGTACCACAACTGTGCTTGGAGTTGTAGCTGCACATGCCTCTTTCCAAGCACTTGATAGAGCCTGCCACATATTTTTGAAAAATTAATTGAGTAATTTTATATGAGTATATCAAATATGAAGGAATTGTCACACACTTAGTTCTTTACATACCTCGTGGATATTTGCATTAGGTTTGCCACCATACTTTCCGATATCAAAAGTTGCAGGCTGCTGGGTATTTACAATGTGAGCCAACAGTGGCAAAAACAACAGGGTGAATTTCAATGCCATCTCGATCACTTTTGGCTTCAAATTAATAATATATTTTAGTCTATGATTTACTTCAATTTATAATGTAAGAGGGAAGTTGAGTACCACATGTAGTCCTACAAAATTTCTCGGAGATTGTTGCTTTTAAGACAGTTTGTTGGAGCAACCTATGTTGTGGCCGTTAAACATGCATTTTATTTTCTCCACCAACAATATACCTACTTTTGGCATTTGACACTTGGGAGATTACATGCTCTGAACTAGCTAATATATTCAAATAACTTAGTATTTATAATTCTCACCTTTAAGCAAATTAATGAAAGTATAATAGCAAACGTATAATTTTATTGCTACGACTCCCTCGATAATTGGCCTTTCATCAAAGATCGATCATCTACCATTGTGTTATATTCTCAAAAAATTTAAAAATTTCTTACGATGGCTATGGTTAGTTATCGTGTAGATCTAAGTATTGCTTTCTTAGATCTCTAGGAATGTATTACGGAATCAAGTGTTTATGGACCGCTGATCATTTTCTATAGCACCGGTTCATGTGAATGGAAGTAATAAGATATTTTAAACGTGACTCATTTTTCTTGATTTTAAGATCCGTTTATCAATTATAACAGTATTTAAATACCACATAAACTAGTATTTAGTACCATTGATACTAACATTAGTCAAGAGCACATGCAACAATAAAGTTGTCATCAATTTTTATAATTATCACACAATTTTATCATTGAAATTAAATCTTCTTAATCATATTGTCATTTATGAATCAAATTAAAATCTAAGAGTTACAATGAAAAGTTGAGAACAAATAGAGTAGAACAGTCTACAAAAGAGGAACATATGCAGCATTTGTGTTCTATGTTTTCTTCACTTACAACATAACTTAATTTGTTTACAAAACTATTTATAAATGTCAAACATCTTCTATTTTTCTTTTTTTTTTCTTTTTTCAAATATGCAGACTAATGATACTATGTAAAGTACCATATGAATAATTGCATTAGTAGAGATGGCAACGGGGCGGGACAACCTCGCTCGCCCCGCCGGATAATTTCCAAAGCCCCATACCGACCCTGTTACTTGTTTAAGGCAGGGCGGGCCCTTTGCCCCATTTGCTACTCATTTAGTTTTTTTTAATTCATTTTATTGCCTCCATTTATTAAAGTGGAACAATAATATATTTTTTAATTTTTTATTTATTTTTAAGAGTTGAATATATTCAAATATATTTGGTAAATTAATGCTTTTATTATTTATCATATTTTTTGGATAATCTTAATTGCTATTTTCTATTAGAACTAATGAAATTTCGTGAAATTTTTCATTTAAAGTATTGAATTCTAAAAATAAATAAATTGGGTGGGGTGGGGTACCCACTATCCGTACCCGTCTCATCCTCGACCCGAATATCCGATTAAGCGAGTAATCCCCACCTCGTTCGAGGCGGGACCCCACGAGTTTGTTAGATTTTTTTTGTCATCCCTATGCATTAGGGACTATTGAATTCAAATAATCTCTAACTCTTGGATCATGCATGTAATATTCAAATAATATTATTAAAATGATTGTTGTCGTCGAATTTGTGTACAAAATTTACAATTTTAAATATAGGACCTACGGTGTCTAAACATAAATTTTTAATTATTGAATTTTAAAGTGAATAGTTTTTATACTTGGATTATAGAACCTATTCCTAGAATATTTTATTAATATTCAAAACATTAATTAGCTGAATATTAATTCTTAGAACCTCAAATGAAACGAAGTGGTCTTCCTTATTTAGTGCATGTTTGGAAAAATTTAAAAGTTGTTAAAAAATTTTAAGAGTAAAGTCAACGATTAATTTAATCGCACATTTTATGAAACAGAATGAGATGAATAAAAAATAGAAATAGCCCTTATTTGATTTAGATAACAAAATCAAATTTAAAGTTTAATAAAAATTAATGAAATTTGTGGTTAGAAAGTTGTGAATTCCATAAAATATATGATTAAAATTAATTGTTAATTTTAATTCAATTTTTCAACCGAACCAAACACATGCATACTTTATTTATATCCTCTCAATAACTATAAAAATGCTGTCAACTTTGATTGCTTAACTTAGGTCATCTTTGCACAGCAGTTGAAATGCCACGGAAATTAATCCATTGTTTGACCTTGAGAGGGCATTGTTTATATAATAAAAATATATCTTTGACTGAATGTTAATTTTTTAAAAAAAAAAAATTATAAAGATATCATTGAATTCTTGAAGAGCTTGAAAAGCCAAAGATGAATAGCCATGCTAGCTACAAGTCTTACATTAGGTCCCCTTGCCATCAAGACAAAGATGAAACTTGGAATAATGCTAGTATTTCCATTCTCGTGGAGCCACTGCGCGATTTTTTCTGCCCTTTTCCGTTTTGGATTCCGTTTTTGACATTCTATTTTAACTACAACTCTACTGTAATGATTTATTTGGCCTCTATATTTTCCTTATATGTAGTTGGCTCTTCATCGTATTTTAGAGGACGTTAGACAAATCATAAACACGTATTTTTTATACTATTTCTCTATATTATAATAAAATATCAATTCTCTGCAAATTATTTTGTTCTTGTGATCAGTTACCTCATATTACACTTATTCTCTTATCTTTTCAAAACAAACTGATATTAGAGCATTCCAATTTTCACAACACAGGTTGCTAGGCATTTACAATGTGAGCCAACAGTAGCAAAACCAACACGGTGAATTTCAAAGCCACCTCGATCACTTTTTCCTTCAAATTAATAATGTATTTTAGTCTATAAATTACTTCAATATATAATGTAAGAGGGAAGTTGAGTACCACATATAGTCCTACAAATTTTTGGAGATAATTGCTTTTAAGACAGTTTGTTGGAGCATCCTATGATGTGGCCATTAAACATGCCTTTTATTTTCTCCACCAAAAATATACCTACTTTTGGCATTTGAAACTTGGGAGATTACATGCTCTGAACTATATTGGTGTGACTCCCTGGATAATTGGCCCTATATCAAAGATCTTTCATCTACCATCGTGTTATATTTTCAAAAATTTTAAGAAAATTCTTAGGATGGCTATGGTTAGTTATCGTGTAGAACTATATTATCTAAGTACTGCTTTCTTAGTTCTCTAAGAAGGTATTACGGAATCAAGTGCTTATGGACCAATATTTAGTACCACTGTTTTTCTAGAACACCGACTTATGTGAAAGCAGGTAATAAGCCATTTTAAACTTGACTCATTTTCTTGATTTTAAGATCATCTATCAATTATAACAATATTTAAATACCACATTAGTTAGTATTTAGTACTATTGATTCTAAAGGTTTAACCCCAACCTGGGGGGCCCGCCCTGCCCCACCCCGCCCCTCCCCTCCCCTTCCCTAAAGCATTGTGGAGGAGGTAAATCGCTGGATGTACTTCAGCAGGTCAAGGTACAAGAGCTGCCATACTGGTATCCACAAAGAGTCAAATTTCATACCTTGTAAGAGGCAGTAATCGAACCCTCACACTGCGACTGCTAGCTCAGCTCATTCTAAATAACATTACTCATGGAGCACATGCAGTAAAAAGTTATCATCAATTGTTATAATTATCACACAATTAGATCATTGAAATTGAATCTTCTTAATCTTATAGTCATTTGTGTTCTATGTTTTCTTCACTTACGAATTTATACACATTACTTAATTTGTTTACAAAACTATTTATCTTTTGTCCAATTGTAGCGATGCAATATAAATGTCAAACATCTTCTATTTTTCAATTTTCTTATTTTCAAATATGCAGCATTAAAGGAAAAATGATATTTTACAACTGATGTTTCAACGAACAAATCAATCTGATCGTTAAAAATTATTTTCAACAACTAAATGATAAGTTTGGTCGTAGAAAATGGATTGTGATCAATTAAATTACGACCAAAAAATTAGTCACTTTGTACATTTTATCGAACTTTAGTTTCTTCTTAACTTTGAGTTTAAACATTAATATTATAAAAGTTCCCAAGAAATAATAATCATAATTAATACAACATCGGTAAATTAGTGGCGATGACTTTATTTTTTGATTTATCGATGGAAGAGTTCCATTGCTAAAAATTGTTACCTATGGAATTCAAGCCGTCAACGATGGAAAATCTTCTCTAAACCTGCAGTTTTTTTTAGTGTTGTTTCAATGATATTTTATCGATAAAAACAATTAATGCAACGACAAATCAAGCAGTCGTTGAAATAAAATCAGTTGTTAATATTAATTTTAACGACTATTTCTTTCATTGTTAAAATGAAAGGCACTAAAATTTGAATTATTGAATTTTAAAGTGACTAGTTTTTATACTTGGAATATTTTATTAATATTACAAGCATTAATTAGATGAATAATAATTTTTAGAACTTCACATGAAACGGAGTCGTCTTCTTATATAGTGCTTGTTTGGAAAAAATTTAAGGGTGAAGTCGACAATTAATTTTAACTACACATTTTGTTGGATTTATAATTTTTTATCAATTTTTCAACACGAGTATTCATCAATTTTTTTATCAAAAATTGTCAAATTTTTTATATTTTTTGTCAAACAATAAATGACATTCCAAATAGACCGTTATCTTCCTTGCCTTAATCATTCAAACTCTATATCAGTCTTACGTAGGAGATGAATAATAAATAGATATAGCCGCTGTTTTGACTTAGATAAAGATCAAATTTTAAGTAAAGTCCAATAAAAATTGATAAAATTTATGGTTAAAAAGTTGTGAATATTTCATAAAAGATGTGATTAAAATTATTTATAAATTTTAATTAATTTTTTTAATTGAATCAAACATTTGCATACTTATTTGGCTTTAGTCTGACCAATCATATTATAAAATTTCCGTCAATTCTGATTGCTTAACTTCGGTCATCTTTGTACAGCACGTGATTCAATGTTTGACTGAATGTTATTTAAAAAAAAAAAATTATAAAGATATCATGTTACACTAAGCTTAAAAAAAACATTGACCTTACCCCTTAGGGTGGTCGAGTTGGTGGAGCAGGTGAACGCGGAAACCAAATGTCACAAGTTCGAATCCCCTGCCAACACTTCCTCGGTCAAGCTTGTTGCACCGGGCTTGCCTAGTGCGGTTTACCTCTCCTGTGTGGTTTGTGGGCTACTGCACATGGAGCGGGGTTTACCTTGTATGTACTCACAGTGGTCGGCCTCCGCCCCTTCGGGTGGTCGGGGCTCCGCGATGGGTAGCGGCTGCGGGATCGTACGTCAACAAAAAAAAAACATTGACCTTTAGTTTCAACTTTCATATACAAGCTTAACGTGCTCGAACAAATAAACTGGAATTGAAATTTCAGAATGAGTTGAAACTTATAAGCTTAGCAACTTTATTTATTCAAATCACAGCACATATTCAAAACCACCCACCCAACCGACGATTTCCAGTTGGATATTGAAGTTTCCTCCGCCGCCCCAATGGACTAAAAGTAAGTGGAAACTAAAATTAAAGCCTTTAAATAATCAGCAATAGAAATCAAAGTAGCCAAGAATTGTCATCTAACCCTCAGGAAAAGTGAAAACCACAAGCCACTTATTTTCGATTTTGTGATTAAGAAATGGCACACACTGAATCTGCTTTGCCTTTGAAAAAGCTACAAGGCAAAGTTGCCATTGTCACCGGTGGTGCAAATGGTATTGGGGAGGCCACTGCACGTCTTTTCGCCGATCATGGGGTACGAGCAGTTGTGATTGCCGATGTGCAAGACAAGAAAGGCCAAATCGTGGCTGAATCCATTGGCGCGGAGCGCTGTAGCTTTGTGCACTGTGATGTTAGTGATGAGAAACAAGTGAAGGCCATGGTCGATTTTACTGTCCAAAAATACGGTCAACTCGATATCATGTTCAGTAATGCTGGAATACCAAGTAAATCCGAACAAACAATACTCGATTTTAACTTTTCACAATTTGAAACCTTGTTCGGAATCAATGTAAAAGGTATGACAGCATGCGTAAAGCACGCAGCACGAGCTATGGTGGAGAAGGGTGTCAAGGGAACCATTGTCTGCACTGCTAGTGTGGTTGCCACCAATTGCAAGGGAGGTACGAATATGACCGACTATGTAATGTCGAAGCACGCTATTTTGGGTCTGGTCCGAGCAGCTAGCCAGCAACTTGGTGTACATGGGATTAGAGTTAACTGTGTTTCACCAACTGCAATCGCGACCGGAATGGCAGCAAACACGGGCTTGACGAGCGAGGGAGTTCAAATGGTATTCGGGCCTTTTACTCCATTGAAAGGAATTGCATTAACAGTTAAACATATAGCAGATGCTGTATTGTTCCTCGCATCAGAGAATTCTGCGTTTGTTACTGGACATGACTTGGTCGTGGATGGTGGATTGATCAGCCTTCCCCATATAATGGTTACTGAAAAATGAGAGATGATTTATTTTCATGTTTGTTCTAGAGAAATTGTGTTTCTCAATGCTATCTCGTGAAATACCAATAATAGTATAAATGTTATACTTCGTATTTTTCTATCTAAAAAAAAAAAAGTTTTCTTGATTTTATAATCCAAATTTCTTCAATGTCTTGATTCCTAAGGCCCTCTCTATTCTTATTTTTATACTTTTTAATTAGCCGCAAATAGGGATGTCAACAAGCCCAAACTTGAGACTCGAGCTCAGCTCGAGTAAAAATGATTTTTTTTTTTTTTGCTTGCGCTGAGTCAAGCTTTTGCTCGGACAAAAAAACTAGGCTTGGACCTTATCGAGCGTAGCCAAGCTGAGCCGAGCCAGCTCACGATTTTTTTTTTCTAATACCTAGCTTATCTGCTTGTAACGCTAGAGGCATGCACGTAGCTTTTAATTTTTTTCTAATGCTCGGCTCTACAAGCCGGCTCGTGTTAGTTCGGGCTCGAGTCAATGCCCGAACTCAGTTCTATCGAGCCACGAGCCGTGTCGAGTCATGAGTCGCCCGACTCAACGAGCCAAATTGACACCCCTAGCCGCAAAGTCTTTTTTCTTATATTAAAAAAGTTTTGTTTTTATGATATTGGATTTTAGAGATGAGTCCTATTATAGTATGATAAGTTTAGAAATGCCTCTAATAAGACCCACAGAAAGAATATAATTACTCATAAGGATAATTTATAAATTATACCATTTATAATAATTTATTTTCATTAACATATTGTGCTTTGTAAATTTAAGTTTTACATGTATTTTACTGAATGGTAATACAAAACGTATTTTGCTGAAAAATTTACAAATATATATGTAATTATTAAATATTTAAACATATTGAATTAACTCATATTTAAAAATAAAAATCACACTTTATAAATATAATTTTTAACTATTCAGTATACTTCATAAACATTATTCTAAAGTATCAATTTTTCTTTTACTAGATTTTTAAGTTTTAACAACAAATGTGGTATGTGATGTTATATTAATGAATTTGTAGCACACTCAGTCCATTCTAAGTCTCTTTATATTAAAACCTCCCACCTGAGGATTTATAGTTTGACGATTTAAAAAAAAGAACCGTTTTTAACAATTTCTGAAAAAAAGAAAAAGAAAAAAAAGAGTAATGTTATTTAGCCGCGTTGATGTGTCATTAAATAATAAGTGGAATTAAATGAATATTTAATTTCACCTTTCATTTAGCCTATCATCTAGTGCCACCTAGACTGTGGTCGCAATCTAGACTATATATCATTATTCGGAAAAAAAAAAAAAAATTCCCATGTTCAGACCTCAATATCCATTAAACAAATATAATTACAAATAACTTTGACTGGCTATTGAATATAATTAAGAACAACATTTTATCTTGCTATCTTACCATTATTATAAAAGGAATTGGACTCCTATTCCTTCAGGTTTATAGTCCTGAAAATAGAGTAATTATTAGCTAAACTTTCTTAGTCGTCTCTGAAGTTTATTTCAAAACTCTTTTGAGTTTTTTCCTTTATTATTGCTAATGATAATGAAACGTCCTCTAATTTTTCTTTGGCTCCAAATACTTGGGAGGAAAAGGATCGAGCAAGATTAATGGAGGATCGTTCATAGTTTCCGAGCATGTGAAAGATTGTTATAATTACAACGAGATACTTGATGAGTGTGTTACTCACGAGTTTTATTCCATTTTTAACTTGATTATGAGCTAGATCTTATAAGTTTTGAGCCTTTTTTTAATATGTTTTTTAGTTTTGTTTTGTAGAAATGGTGAGATAATGCAAATCATGGAGAGAAATGAGAAAACAAAGCTATTAGCATGGATCGAAGAGAAAAAAGGAACGGAATGGGCAAAAAAGTAAAACCACATTATCAAGGGAAGCAAGGCGCCACAAACGAATAGTGGCAGAAGTGTGGTGCTGCGATGCCACTAAGGGAAGTGACGTGGCGCTGCGGCGTCGCCTGTAGATGATAGAAGGCACGTTTTTCAGCTCAATTTTGAGCCCACAAGAAACCTTACATTTACACAAACGTGAGGAG